TCTTTCATAACTAAACTCAACAATAGCAAGACCAGGGCCTAAAATCAATAACAGCAATGAAGAATCTTGGCTCATGAAGAATTCCTGCCCCTTTGTGCCGCTGATGCCCATAAGTAGGGCATCATCCATCTAAACCAGGGCCCTCCTTAGCCATTAAGGAAAACACAAGGTCTCCTTCTAAACCTGACAGCTTGTAAAACAAGGACAAAAGCGAGGAAATTTTTTAAAAAGTCACTGACTCATTTAACCACGAGCACTACAGAGACCTACTATGTGCCAGTCCCGTGCCATGAAGAGGAGGTATGTCACAGTCCTGGCTCCTTGCCACCAACCGTAGTCAGGGTACATATGAGTAATGTATCTCAAGAGTTCTTTGCTAAGTATTCGATTGGAGGGTTCAGTCTCTGCTACAGGAGGCTGGAATGGGAGTGTCTGTCTACTCCAACAGAGGGATGAGAAGCTTCACCGAGAATGTAGTAAGATGTGGTGTGAGCAACCATGAAGAAGCTACAAAAGGCGCCATATTGATTACTATGGGTCACATAATAGGAAACCCTGCTCTTCCTAGCTAGGCAGGCGCTGCAATTTGCCAGCTTGTTCTCAGAACTTCTCTCCCATGATTTGGTTGGCTGTTGCCAGGCCCTCTGACTGCCAAATCTGCTGAAGCAGGAGAGCAATGACACTCCGACACAAGCCAAAGCCCAGCTACTAACCGTCGATTATAAAAAGAGACACTCTGAGGTGGGAGCAGATTGGGGAAGGGGCTCCAAAGGTCCCATCTTGCTCATATCTATCCAGATTCCAGACCCTGTGTCTATTCTTCATATCACTCCAAGCCCGGGCCCTTTAGAAGGCTTGAAGCTAAGGACAGTGGGTTGAAGCTTTTTGGTTTGATGGCTGGGAATCCAGGGAGACACTGTATGTCAACTACCCAGCTGGTGCTTGGCACAAGGCCTGTGGTCAACAAGTTTTAGCTCCCTCCTCACACTGCAAGGTCAATTCCAGCATGTAAATCCCACGGAAGCTCCAAGGCTCAGATTACATCAGCCTTTCCCCCAGGGCCTCCCTGAAATATGCCAGACCAAAATACTCTCTTTCCTAGAAATCACAACAGTTATGTATTAGTACCCACAGCACATAATCATACTTAATCCTCACAATGACATTATTATATCCATTTTAATAGAGAAAAGGTTCTGAGAGAGAAAATGAGTTGTCCTAGGATATGCAGCTAGGAGATGGGAAAGCACTCCCACGCTCATTCCACAGTACTACAGCTACAGAAGAGAGCCAGCATCCTACCCACGGTCCTACATCTCTACGCTGGACAAATGTGGCAGGAGCCTTTAAACACTGTATTGCAAAAACAACTGGAAATAGTTAATTTACCACAACAAAGTACACACATTTTATAACGTACTCATGCCAGTGGATTGTATGAGCCTTGAGCCCTTCCACAGCCTTCAACAGATCTTTGGTCTGAGGCTCAAACCCCATACAGGTTGAGCTCCGACCGTCGGTACCCACGGGGTCCCGAACCTGTCACAATCCAAGCCCAACCCCAGGCACAGAGGGCGCCAGCGGGATTTTACACACTGCAGTCTCGGCAGGGAAGCAGCTCTGAGTACAGTCCTAAAAGGGTGTCCCCTTCGGCTGTCCCTCCTCAGAGAAATCGGGTCGTGACCTCGAACTGCTCAGAAGGCCCTGACTGCCGCTCCCGGGCGCACCGCCGTACTCCAGACCCCTGTCCCGACCCGCCCGGAGGGACTCTTGGCTGTCTCTCTTTTACCTTAGCTGACCACCACGGGAGCGGCCGCGCGCACCCCCACCTGCAGGTCTCTGCCGGGAACGCGGAAGAGGCGGAGCTAGACTCTGGGGGGAGGGCCTTGGCAGAAAGGGGCGGGAGGGGCGGAGTCACGCCTGCGCCCTGAGGGTCACATGTGGTCAAAGAGGCGAGTCGTTTACACCGCGCAGGCGCGGCAAATCCAGGCGGTGGCGGGCTGTTGACGTGCGTTACTCTTTCTCAAGCAGAGAGAGGAGGATCCCGCAGGTGCAAATAGTTATTTCTGCGAGCCAGGACAAAAGCGTTTTTTAACCTGGAGGGCAGCTCTGTTAAAATTTCTTCGTTTTAAAGTTTAATTTTGAGACAAAGCCAAGGCTGTATACCCCAGGCTGGCTTCAAACTCGTTTTTTTTCTCTTGACTCAGTCTCCAGAGTTGTGTGATTACAGACTCGCACACCACCAAGCACGACTATAAAGTTTCTGTAAAGGTCTGTGTATACAGAATTTCACGAGAGTATGACTAAAACATTACTTCCAATAATTAAAAACGTTTGTTTTCGAGACGGTCTCACTATATAGCCCTGGCTGTCCTAGACATCGCTGGCCTCGAGCTCAGACATCCACTTGCCTCTGCCTCTGCCTCTCGGAGTGCTGAGATTGAAGGCGTGCACAACTACACCAGCTAAAACAAACTCTTACTGTGTGTGCTATAATTAGATGACTACCTCGACCAGCTGTGTGTGTGCATACACTAATTAGATTAATACCTCAACCAGCTGTGCGCGTGTGTGTGCGTGCGTGCGTGCGTGTGTGTTTTGTGTGTGTTTGTACACTAACTAGATTAATCCCTCAGCCATCCTCCCTGTCTCACTTCCATAGGCTGCAGGTGCCTGAGAGGGGAAGAGCGCTGTTTGGCTTCAGTTCAGTCTTTCTTTGTGTGGCGGAAGTAAACATCCCAATCCCATTCAGTATTGTGAGCGTCTGGTGAGCAAGGCACTTAAAGAACTTCTCGCTTTCCCATCAATCATCTCGGAAACATGGGCTCCCTTCTGTGTTCCACTCTATGATGGAAGGAAGTGGGGGTTTTCAAGACTTTGCTAGATTTCCAATCTAGATGAAGACTGGAAAGGAGAGTCTCTCCCCCAAGCTTTTGTATTTTGTCCCTCCCAGAATTTGAGTCCTACCCAAAGGCTGTATATCCCAACCTCTTCCAACCTCCCAGGCCCACCAAGCTTCGTGTCTTCACAGGCCTTTCTAACCTATTCCCCAGTTCTCAATAGCCAAGTGGTCCTGAGTCGCTCAGGCATAGACTGTAATGCGGATTCTCAAAGTCACTACTTTCCCACATACATGACAACCATGGTTAATTTACATTGGATAAAAGCTCTGAGGGGCTGCCCGGAAGGAGGGCAAACAATGCAGAACCCAGACCTTCTTTGGGCCCATGCTACTCCATTCCACAGCTCCACACAGGGGCAGCAGGGAACATAAAAGGAGCTGCAGTGTTCATGAAAGCCCCAGGATAGGCAGTATTGTTTACTCAGTGGGGGATGTTCTGCCCCAGGGTGGAGAGAGTAGCTTCTTCCCTGCTCCCTGCCACAAAGGTTGATGTCGATCCTGAGCAATGGACAACGAAGCCCAACCTGGTCTCCTAGGTAAGCTGATTCTGCTAGGTTTTGCCTGCTTGGGTGAGAGACTCTTTTCTGTTGTTAAAGAGGTCAAAGCTCTTCCTCTCTTTTCCACTAACCATCCCTCTCAGTCTCTCAAAACAAGTCTCTCTCTCTCTCTCTCTCTCTCTCTCTCTCTGTGTGTGTGTGTGTGTGCATGTACACACACACACACACACACGTGCTTCCTAATATATTTTCAGACATCTCGATTTTGAGATAAATCTCTTACTTCCAAAAATGTACATGAACTTGCTAACAGTTGGACTGCCCAATAGGTTTGAAAACACCACTTTTTTAGAAAACTGGGCTTTGGGCACTAGAAGGAGCATCAAATGAAGAACCTTCTAGATTCTACAGCAGTAAAAAAGGCTGGGAGGACGATCAGACAGCTGGTTAAAGAGAGACTTGATGATGTGTCAAGTACCCGAGACTGTACCAGAGACATAGTCAGTATTAGCTAAGTTACTATCATCTATGATCACGGACTGAGAATGAGGGAGCTTAGAGATCATTCACTTTCACTCCCACGTTTTTTGTTTTTTAATTCATTTATACCAGGTGTGGTGGTGCACACCTTAATCACAGCACCCAGGAGACAGAGAAAGGTGGATCCCTGGGAGTTTAAGGCCAGCCTAGTCTACAGAGTGAGTTCCAGGCTAGCCAACACTACAGAATGAGACCTTGTCTCAAAACAATAAAAAAAAAAATTTCTACTGTATGTGTGTATGCATGCCAGAATGGTGTCTCCCCTTTCACCTCTGCATGGGTCCTGAGAACTGAACTCAGGCTATTAAGCCTGCATTATTGGGCAGGAGATGCCTTCATCCACTGAGCCATCTTGCTAGCTCACCACTTCTAACCATGAAATAGATAAGAAGTGGTTTAGAGAGGGAAGGTACTTGCCTTGAGACCTTGGGGGCTGGCTGGGGCTAGAGCACAGGCATCCACCTTCCAGGCAGAGTCCCTACTGGTTCCTTTGCAAGTGTAGGAGAGCCTCTAGGTTGGCCTTTGTTGATTGTTTACAACCAAACTGCTTTTAACTCCTGTCTGAGTGGCTTGTGGTATGGGGGCAGCGAATTCTGTTTTCTGGGGAATAAGATCTGGAGTGAAACCTGCCACACCTCCCCTACCTGGAGTCCTGAGAGGCTTCCTCTCTTGGGAATGGGGTTGTGGCTGAATTTCCCACTGCACTCTTAGCCATTGGTTCCTCCACACCGCCCAGATATGAATGGAGACAGCTAGTGCCAAATGCCTAAACAAAATCTCCCCATCAGACTGAGTTCTTTAAGTTCCTCTCTTACCCTCCTCGAGGCTCCCAAGCTAGCTTGTCTAGAATGCAGAGCCCACACTGGAGACCCGGGTCAGTCATGACTATGCCCACATGGTCAGAAGCTGAGTATAGAATGTCTTTAATCCCTTTCTGGAGGCCTTTCCAACAACCTGCCAAGACCCAGGTGGTACCCAGACCACGGCTTCCCATCAGTGGTTGCTTTAGTTTGTCTTTTATTTTTACCAAAAATAGCAAACTCTTCCCTTTTTCACAAAAATATATTTCCCTCCCCACCCCCATCATCCCTGTTCACAGCCTAGATTTCAGAATATGTCCTGCAGCCCACTATGGGGAATTACCCACTTTCCTTACTTCCGAACCACTGCCAAAGCTGTAGGACAGCATGCATTCTTTGGGACTTCTCTGGAGCTGGCAGAGATAGAAAGTTCCAGGTCCTGCTGATCTGGAGAGCCCCGCTGTTTCCCTGGAGGGCAGGCAGTTCCTAGGCCATAACGTTGGACCTAGTTTTGGAGGTTTGTCTCAGTAGCCAACTTGAGCCAACCCAGGAGTGGTGGGGCTCTCTGGCATCAGGCTAGAAATCCTTGTTCAAAACAGGAACAGTTGTGTCCTGGAGGGTATTTAACAAACCCTATTTCCACAAGCATCTTGGTGTCACATCAGCAGGCCCTAGAGTAGAAGTCAAGAGCCTTGGCTTTTATACCAGCTTTAGAAAAGCTTCCGGGTTCCAGTTTCCTCCTTTGTACACTGAGAGACAGACAGGATTCTTGTGTTACTTCTTGTTCTCCATCCTGGCTTCTCAGGATTAAGGCTCTGAAAGGGTCACGGTTTCCCTACCTGTGAGTCTGTGCACAGGGCTCAGCATGGAGGTACTAAGTAATGGTTATTGAAAGAGCATCCCAGCCTCTCTGGATAGCTGTGCTTAGAGATCCAAGTAGCTAGGGTAGCTAGGATGTCCCGGGATGATTGGGTGGAGGCAGGTGTTTTCAGGATGGGAAGGTTTCCACCAGCTACATGGTCCTGTGTCCTGAGACAGAAGAAAAGACTCCAGATATCCCAATTCAAGTTCCAGTGGCTCTCTGTTTTAGAGGGCTATGTTGTGCTGGCCTTCAGTCAGGTCAGTAGGTTCTGGGTGTGAGCCTGAAGTATCTCAAGTCCCAATTGAAGATCCAGGGAACCTTTGTGGACATGAGGAATCAATCTCAATCCTCAAGAGGCTTACTGTTTTGCTTTGCTGTTTTGTGTTTTGTTTTTTGAGACAGGGTTTTTCTGTGTAGCCCTAGTTGTCCTGGAACTCACTCTGTAGACCAGGTGGGTCTCAAACTCAGATATCCTTGTGCCTCTGACTCATGAATGCTGGAATTTAAGGTATGTGCCACCACTGCCTAGCTTAGAGGCTTACTGTTATCAGGCCCTCCTGGAAGCAGAGAGATGAGCGACGTAGCAATTTGTGGACATCCTTGGCTTAGCAAATCAGCCCACATGGTGGTAGGTCAGGGGTTTAAGGAATTCAGGGCAAAGCTGAACTTTCTAGCCTCCACTCAACTGCACGGGACTCATGTAGATAGACAATGGTGGTCTAGAAGATCCAGAGGTACCATTCCATCTACACGCACATTCTCTACACTTGTACATATGGTCAGAGTTGAGCTGGGGCACTAAGCTGTCATTACTCCTAAAAGGGTCATGGACTTAGAGACCATCCTGTCTGTCCATCCATCCATTCATTCATCCATCCATCCATACATACATACATACATACATACATACATACATCTATCCATCCATCCATCCATCCACCCATCCATCCAACACGAGGGCCTACTATGTGCCAGAAAGGACCTGAATCTCTCAGACAAATCCCACAATCAAACCCCCACCCCTCGCGCACACACAAACCTACCCGCTTGCTCAGATACAGGCACTCACTCCCATAATTTTCTTGCCACCACTTCAGTCACATCCATATTCCCCAAATGGATTTGAAACCCACCATGGTAGGGTGAAAGGATGAAGTATCAGAGCAGGAACCTGGTAGCCTACCCTACTCTTGGACTTAATGTGAAGGGCTAAACTCCTTTGCTTCAGTTGCCCACTTGAAGCCCTCCCTTCTCCAGGAGGACTTCTGAGAGGTCCAGAAGTGTTGGGTATGTAGAGGGGTCCTACAGGCCTTCAGATTGCTCTACCGACAGGCTCTTAAGGGTCCCCTCTCCAGCTACACTGTGTCCGATGGTCCAGTTGATAGGCAACAACATCCAGATCTGGACTCAGTGACAGATTCGCTCTGTCATCTCCCTCTGTAGAGACATAAAGTAAAGAAGGGTTAATCTGAGCTCAGCCTGCTGGGAAACACCTTGCCAAATCATGGGTTTTTGGGGGCCTCATTCTTCCTCCACTATAGCTGCGAAGCACGGCAGCAGATCTGGGTTTCTAAATTGACACCTCCATGACTTCTCTATGCGCATACCGAACCCACTGGTAAATGAGTTGTCTCCCCTCACTTATCTACCTGGATATGGAAGTTTCATACAGAGCCTTTGGAACTGAACTTTCAGGACGAGCTTTGGCAGTGAAGGGTAAGAGAGACTTGGCCTTACCAGTGGCTCTAGTTCCCTCTGGTCCACCAGGCTGAACTCCTGGATGAAGTAGTAAAAGTGCTTATAGCAGGTGTTGACATGTGCCTCCGCCCCCATGCTGAGGATACTATCGAAGTGGTGGATGTAGACGTGGACAAATACTCGGAAGAGTCGGGTCAGGATCTTGGTGCAGACCTGCTGGAAGTTCTTGGGGAAGGGAACTCCTGTGGATGGAGAGGGATAGAAGAGAGGGTCAAAACCCTAAGGGTAAAACTCCGTCCCTCCCCAAAGGCATTCTCCACCTCTCCTCAGTGCAGGACCCATAGAGGAAGGCAAAGCAAGGGCTTGGTTTTCTCCTATACTTTTCCTTTTGGGGGGTGGTAGATAGGTTGGAATTGGACCCAGGAATTCATTCACATCACTGAGCTCCAACCCCAGTCCCCATCTTTCAAGTGCCAACACAGATCGCGTCCCCATTTCCCACGGCCTGAAGCAGGGCTTTTCAAGCTTGTCACCGGCCAGTCTGCCTCAGACCACAGTGAAAATTATGGCCTAACCTGTCTCCAGAAACCTGTGCACCCACAGAGATACACATCACCCGCTCCTAGACAGTCCAATGTGGAGATTGTGGGCCAGTTTTAAGAACACGGGCCTTCAGGGTTAAGCCTTAATATCCCGGTAGGGCACGGAGCAAAGCCTTTAATGTGCCAACCCTGATTGCTGTCTCCAGCCACACCCCAGTTCCTCTGCTTACTAGTCTCACAGCTGGCTCATATCCCTTCCTCACCCCGTGCTAGGAACTACTTCCGATATCACTTGGTCCTTCAGATAGCCAATAACATAAAGAACTTTCCCTCTGTGAGCCCAGCCCCGAGCTGGGCCCTTTGTACCTCTGTCCTCTGCTCTTTCAACTGTGCTGATGGTTCTGATAGTCATTCTAGATATGATAAAATGCAGGTGATGTGTGAAGCGGAAGCCACTTGCTGGAGGACACGTAATTATTCACTAGTACAGACTGCAGGCAGGATTCAAACCCTCTTTGCCTAGCAGTACCTCTCAGAGATAAACCATACAGATCCTGCCCGGCCAGGAAAGACCACGAGAACAATGGGAAAGGCAGTGTATGCACAGACCCCAATCCAGGACAGGGATCCCGGTGGCTTACACCCTCTCTTCTGCGATGACAAAATCATCCAGTTATCCAGTTAAAAGTTTACCCAGGGCTCACCAGCCCAGGGATGTAGGCTAGAGGAGAAAAAAAGCCAGGAGCAGACTGAGCCCTAGTCCATACACCTCCGCAGACCCCCTTCCTTCTCACTGCTCCTCGGAGCTTGTGCTCCGCTTCTCTGAGAGTCCAGCCTCTTCCCTACAATTCCTATCCCACCCATCTAGACTATGGCACCTGAGCTCCAGTTCCGATCCTTTTTCTGTTCAGTGTGCTTTCCCACTGCTGGCCTCAGTTTCCTTCTGTGTAAAATGGAAGGGACCTGTTATACACAGTAATGCGGGAAATGGCAGCGACAGCTGGGGAGGAGCCACGGACTTGAATTGTGACTCAGTGCCCCACTTTCCTCAGCATTCAGACGTTTTCCCTCTGGGCTTGACCATCTACCCCACCCATTTGAATCCCTATAGCTCAGATGGGTGCTGGGACCTGGGTTGCAGGCGAGGCTGCTGTGATGAACACAGTGTCTCCTGGGTGGGGAGCCTGGGCTAGGGTGAATCATTCATCTCCTTCCCTCCCCTCCCCCAGGCCCAGGTCCATCTGAGGTAAGGAAAGGCCCCACGGCCTGGATCTGACTATGGAGTACTGAGGAAAAGGTACCTTTTGGGCTGATCCAGCTTCCAATTCTTCACTTTCTGGGGCCAGGATTTGGAGTGGACTCTCAGCAGGCTGGAAGCCAGATCAGCCCAAGCATGACAGGGTGTTACTTAGTTTGGAAAGGGGAGAAACAGCATTTGTGGTCTTGTTTGGAGAGTCCCTAGTGGGGTCTGTGTGTACACTGCCTTTCCCATGGTTCTTGTGGTCTTTCCTGGCCAGGCAGGATCTGCATTGTTTACCTCTGAGAGTGCTGCTGGGCAAAGAGGGGTGAGTTCTGCCTCTATGAGGAGGACACGAGGATCCCCAAACAGGAGTCAGGTTGTCCTTGGCAAATGTTTGATTGTAGCCAAGATCCTGCCTCAACTGGCTTCCTTTTCTACAATATGGGATCTACAATAGAGGAACGACCCTCCCTGGCTACGCCAACTCTCCAGCCAGACAGTGCTCACCAACACGTGTCGGAAAGACATCCTCATCATTGATGAGACCCTCGATCCAGTCCATGAGCAATGCCATATAACGGGGTGCCGAGAGCTTGGCAGGCCTCCGGTACTGGCGCTCATCCTGCCAGCGGTACTCATAGCGGGGCCCGCCCGCCATGACTGGGCAGCTGGTCTCACTGCAGTGCTCAGCCATGGTGCCATAGATGAGGTTGATGCGGTTGAAGAAGTCCACCACGTGCACAGCGATCCAGTCATCGATGCTTTCACCAGGTGGCAGCCTCACCACACTTCGAAGGTCCAGGCCAGACTTGAGTGAGGCTTGTGCCTTCTTATAGAGCTCGAAGCGTTGCGTGCCGGGCTCAAAGCGCTTCCGGGGCCGGAAAGTCTTGTCCTTAGCAAATACCTGCTTCAGGCACAATGCCATGGCCAGGCCTAGTAGAGTTGGATGTCCAGACCCAGGGACCTGGAGATGCCCTGCCAGGGACAAGGGCAGGAGAAGTAGGTGGTCAGGGCCTTATAAAATGGACTTTGACTTCCCAGTACATCATTTTCCTATTGACTGTCAGCCTTGGGACAGTTTCTTTATCTCCCCTAGCAATGGCTAATCTTTTGGGGAGAACTTTAGCCCCCACCCCACCCCCCAGCAGCCCCACATGCCTTTCATTTTGTTTAGCTTCCTCCCTGCTTTCTTTGAATCTTGCAGTGTAGCCTGGGCTCCAGATAAGTACTTACAGGTCTTACTGTTGACCATTACAGAAGTGACATGAGGCTTTTGCAGGTTAACCAGGAAACAGGAGACTCTGATAAGGTGTTCTCTGGAAGCCCCATAGACTAGCTGTGTAGTGTGAGAGAACCTAGCTGCATTGTGCTAGGAGGGACCAGGGTGGGGAGTGGGAGGGGGGGCTGAGGGGGTGGGCCATAGACTTTGATTTCCTCTGGGATATCCCGAAGTCCATCCGGCCACCGGGGATTCCCAGGGAGCAAAAGGGACTTTTCTACCAAAAATGTCCTTTCCTTTTTCTTTACACTGAAAGAGGAAAGGGCCCTCACACGGCCAGCTGGGTGGCCTTAAGTGTGGCTGCAGACGCTGCAGGAAGGGGCGGGTGGCAGGCCTAGAAGAGCGCTACTTCCTCTGAGGAATGCTACAACTGGCTCCTTTCCTCCAAGCCGACCTCCTTCCCAAATCTGAATAAGCCACTGGCCTTCCCCTTGCACCTGACACTCCATAAATTACCAGCACACCTACAATGTACTTGGCACTGGGGGTTAGGGGAAGAGCAGCCAGACCCATCCTGCTGGTCTTTTTGGATGTCTGCTTTGCCTCTTAGAATGGTTAGAACAGAAGGATCCCAGACTCAGAGCAGACTCCAGGGGGCATCAATCAGAGCCCTCAAAGTCCTGGGACCCAAGCCCGCTTCAAAACTGCCTTGCCAACATCACCACAGATTTGGTCCATGTCAATCCTTGAAGACCCTGATGCAGTCGGGTTTTGGGGCATCTTAGGCATTTCATCGGCCCCACCAATGTGGGGAATGCAGATCCAGGCAATCGCTGAGACTGGAACAGCCACAGCTGAGTGCAGACCCTGCCAGACCCTGGTCACTAGGCTGTACAAGCAGCAGTGCGCTTGGGCTCCACACTGACCGACCCATCCTCGATCTCGGTTAGTCTGAGCTCTGAGCCTAGCTCCACACTGAATGAGGCTCGAGACAGTGGCGGATAAAGCTTATCCTTCACCTCATGACTTTGAAGCGGTTTCCTTTCTCAGATCTTTGCTAACTGCTGTGGCAGGATGGGGGAAGAGAGGGTGAGAATAAGGTGGTTAGTGTAACAAAGGCATGGAGCATAGAGAGATGTTACTTCTGGCCACAAATCCAACTTACAGATATGTTTGGACGGTTATTCCTTCTCCTCACAGCAGGCAGGCAGAATGGGACAAACAGGAAAAATGAGAGCAGTGCGGAGGGAGAGAGTTCCTGACCTCTCGAGAGAAGCTTGAAGACAAGGGAGGCCCTCTCATGTATTCTGACAACCCCCTGCCCCCCTGCTTCTTCTCAAAGAAATGCCAGGCCGGGGCCTGAACTTCCTGAATGAAGAGCTCTGTACACTCCAGTTGCTATCTCCCTTGTAAGCTCTACCTGGGGCAGGGCTTCCAAAATCACTCATGCAGTCAGTGGGGTTTCAGGAACCTCCACCTTGATATGGCCATCCCATTACTGACTGTTATAGACTCTCACTCTGCCTTTCAACTCCACACCCTAACTTCCCCGCCCCACCTCCTCACCAGCAGCCACCCTGGGCTTCTCCTTGACCCCTGAGCATGCCCCTTCTCTCCTGCCCTGTGTGTCTTTTGCTGGTTGATTCTGGATTTCACATTCCATCAGGCCGAATGCTACCTCCTTCAGCAGCCTCCTCCAGATCTCAACCTTGTGTGGTGGCTGCTCTTTGACCATTTCTGTCCCTAGCCCTCTCTAGACTAAGTCAGGACTAGCATAACACTGGTGGCCTGGCTTTTGGGAAAGTTTAGACTCAAGAGTCTTAGAGTTGGCTGGGGAGATGGTTCGCTGGGTAAAGAGATTGCAGCAAGTGTGAGGAGCAGTTTTGATCCCCAGAACCCATGAAAAACCTGACAAGGCCTGGTGGCTTCTTGTAACCCTAACACTTAAGAGGAAAAGGCAGGGGATCCCTGAAAGCCCCAGGTTCAGAAAGACCCTGCCTTGGGCTTGTGAGATGTCTCAGTGGGAAAACTTTCTTGCCTGAGTTTGATTTCACAGAACTCACATGGAAAAAGGAGAGAATCCCCACAAACTGTCTCTAGCTTCTACATGTACACTGTGATATGAGTATGTATATTTGTGTATATACATACACACAAGCAAATGTAATTATTATTTTTTTAAATAGACCTTGCCTCAATAAATGAATTGGAAAGTTAGAAAGAAATTGTTGCCAACTTTGGGCCTCCATACCTGCATGCCCACTTGCACTTGCCCACAAAACCAGACACACATACACATAGAGGGATACAAGTCTTCAAGTTAAAATAGCTCTGAGAAATCAAGAGGCTCAACCTACATGAACACATGGGGAAACTGAAGCCCAGGAAGAGGATCTGAGGAGCCTGGCTTTGCATAGCAAGTTATAAGAAGTAGAGGTTTGGGATAAAGAGGGACTTAGCCTATGACAAGGTACAAAGGACCCTTTTCCTGCTCTGTCTGGTCACTGGCCTGGTGTAGATAAGGGGAGAGGAAGGGAGTGGAGAGGCCCCACCTCCTTGCTGTAGAACTTTAAGGCCCAGAACTTTTTCTAGAAAGAGTAAATGTGGAGGCTGAGTACAGGAGGTAAGGTAAGAGCAGGTGCCCTCCTCTGCCTGTTACTGCTGTTTTCTCCCCACTGCATCACTGAGATTGTTTCTCACACAGCCGCTGTTCCCCTTCCCCCGTGGGCCCTCCACTTTAATTATTGGGTGGCTGCCCAGCGGTTTGCTCACTCTGAGCATCTAATCTTCCCAAATGAAGAGCACAGGTTGATTGACCCAGCCTGTTTCTAATATTTAGTCCCTGCCACACCTGCCCCTCCCTGGGTCTGGCTCAGAAACAGCCCCAGTTTGAACTCAGAATCTAGCCTGGTATGCCCTGCAGCACAAGATCTAATATTAATAGTAGGAGCATAAGACAGCGCTTGTTCAGCCAGACCCGCTCCTATCTCCTTCGAGCCCCTAAGAACCTCCCCTTATCTTCAGCTGTTAGGGCCAAACAGGTCCTAGGACCCAGAGGAGCCAGCCTGACGTTTCCGCCCTAGAAGACACGCCCCCTCACCAGCCACCGCCACCGCCACCCCCACCCCGGACTTCGGGCGCTGAGTCTCGGACCCGGGGCTGAGGACCTGTGGCCAGCCTGCTTTCGGGCTGGGGTCGCTTTTAAAAGGTGCCAGGCGAGGACCAAGAAGAGCTGAAAGTGGAAGCAAGACTGGGCCGCGAGGGGCGCGGAGACGCGGCAATCACTCACGCGCTCCGCCTAGGTGGACAGCTCCGGGTCTCAGTCGGCGCCTTCACACCGCAGCGCGCTGGGTCGTCCTACTGCGGGTGATCCCGCCGGGCCGGGCTCCGTGCCTGTCCGCCTGCCTGCCCCGGGCTGCAGCCGCCGTCCCGCCGCCCGTTCGCGAGGAGACGCCAGCTCCGCCCCAGGCTCAGCCACGCCGTGGCCACGGGGCGGGGAGGGGCGGGGAAAGGGACTCCCCCGTCCCAGGACACACACTCCAGCCTTTCCGGGAAATGGGAAGTCCGTTGGGGCTCGCAGCCTCCCCGAAGGCCAACGACTTACTGAGCAGCCGCCCCAAGGGGGCATCTGGATCTTTCTTAAGGACGCAGCCTCAGATTCCTAGGCTGTAGAATGGGAACAAACCCAGCTTCTCCCTGAAGCACAAAGAAAAAGACAGTGGTTTGAATGGTTTCCTAGCCTCCCTACTGTCATCTGTGCTTCACTTGTCTCTGAACTCAATAGGGTTCCTACCTATCAGGGTATGTTCAGCTTCAACCCACTGTCACACACAGCACTCAAGATCTACGACTAGAGGCTGCAGGTGATGGAGGGAGGCAGAGGCAGGCAGATCTCTGTGAACTGCAGGCTGGCCAGGGCTGCCTGGAGAGACCCTCTCAAAACACACACA